TACTTTCAGGAGGGAAGGTATGGGGCATCCCACTAGATAAGAACCAAGGCCTGTTGAAGTACTTGCTGAAGATAAGGAGAATACAGAATGGGTAGTAGAAGAAGGTACTTATAAATACCAGCTACAACTGCATGACTCATTACAGAAACAAAGGTAGTAATTTTTTCTCCTATATTATTAATATGCTTGTGCATGTAAACATATCAATTAATGTATACATGTGTTCATATATATACACATTTACACACGTATATACATATATATTGTTTTCTTTCTTAGGTTTTTTTTTTTTGGAGACAGGGTTGCTGTATGTAATTCATGCTATCCTTGAACTTGTGGCAATCCTCCTGCTTCAGCCTCCCAAATTCTGGGATTATAGGCATGTGCTGCCACACCTGGATATTTTCTGTCTTTGTAACATACTGTTAATAGACTTAATATTGGTTTCTAAGTATGATTATATCTGCATTATAATATTTAAGTTATAAAACATTAGAAGAGTAAGCATCACTCAAAGAAAAACTGCCTTCTATACTGGGAATTAAGGTAGTGTGGGTTTTATGCAGAATATTCATACCATGTTAGGTACAATTATGAATTTGCTATTGTGGTTTTTTTTATTTTAAAGAGATAGTAAAAGAAGAACAATAGCAAAATACAAACAAAAAAAGCAAGAACATTAAAAATGTTACAGGGCTTCAAACCAAATGATAAGAAATAACAGCAATTGTTATATTACATATTGTTATCTTCAACAAAGTTGCTCAGATTACCAGATGTAAGAATGGAAGATTGATCAAACCATTAAAGAGAATAAGAAAACAATACTTTAAAAAAATTAGAGATAATACAGTTTCGCTAGACAAGATGGTAGGAATTCACCATGGTTGTGATATTGCACATTGTTGTCTTCCTATCAGTTGCTCAGATTACCAGATACAAGTATGCAAAATTGTCAAAATATAAAAAAATTTAAGTATTAACTGTTTCTTTCAATAAACAATCAGACATCAACAGTACACTTATCCCAGATATATATATAGCCTTAGTTCTTTCTTTCTTTTTCTTCTTTCCCTCATCCCAGTTGCTATTGTGTTTGGAAACTAAGTATGGGTTAAGGAAACGTGTTTGATTGTCAAGTCGACAAGGGGTGGATTGTGCTAATTAATTGTGATGTCAACTTGACTGGACTCTGAAACAACTCGCAGATTAGCAGAGAGCACTTCTGGGTGTGTCTGTGGATGGCTCACATGTAGATCACAGACTGAAGAAGAAAGACCCACCCTGGATGTGGGTAGCACAAACCAATAGGCTTGTAGCCAAGGTAGTATAAAAAAGGAAAGAAGAAGGAAGTCTTCTCTTTTGCTTCTTTAGAGGAGCTTTGGTCTTTGGCATGGCCTTGGAACATTTGTCTCTAGTTCCTTCAGGCTTCCAGTATAGACACAGGTCTTCCAACACAGACCCTTTGGCCTACTGACATAGACTCTCACCAGACTTTGCAGTGAGCTCTAGGTGGCCACTGTAAGCCTACTTGCCTACTTAGTAAATCCTTTATATACCACATATACATATTCATATGTTTATCTCCTTCACAATGAATGATCTGTCCCTTTACTGAACCCTAACTATTACAGGCTGCCCACACTAGAAACTACATTTTAAGTTTCTCTTGAAGCTTGATGCATCTGTGTGACAAAGGTTGGCCCAAAATATGTGAGCAAAAGAGGTGGGAAATTTCTGAGTGTGCTCCTTCCTCTTCCACTGAGGTTTGGAACACAGATGTGGTTGGACTGTCTAGGTCCATTCAGATGAGAGGTTGGAGAAGCAAGAAGATGAAACGAGCTTGGACCCTGAGTGGCCTGCACTCAGGCTCCTTTCTGTAAGAGGCAAAAAGATAAACTTCATTTGCTTAAGCTATTATTATAATATCTCTGTTATCTGTGTCCAAATAATACCCTAATTAAAAATAGCTCATCCCTCCTGTGTTCAGATATTCACACTACAGGCTCTTCTCATCATTCAGGGATCAACTCAGATGCTGCCTTAGAAAAATCTGTCTGGACTAGTCTATCAGAAAAGTCCGTCAGGCAATTTTCTATCACTGCCTAAATTTCTGGATAATACACAGCAGTATATTATATTGTTTTACCTAGTGCCTTGATTTTTCTCTTTCTCCTAGAATTCAAGTTTCATGGCATGGAATTGCCTTGCTTTTTTGCTGGATTCTTAATGCCTGAAACAGTGCCTGGTACATAATAGGTGATCAGTAGATATTTGTTCAATGATTGACTATGTAAGATGGACAAGTCAATAAACAAAATAGATAAACCAATTTTTTAAAACAGGATACATACATTGTTTGGAAAGGTAGAGATAAATTAGAAGAATTAATAGCTAACATGTTCTTAAATGGCTACTTCTGAGAGACTATAGCTGAGGTGGGGCGGTTGCCACAGAATGCTATGTTATTATACACCCATTGATACGAATTTGATTTTTCACTTGTGCATATGTAAGTTTGGAAAGCTTAACACTTAAAAATAAACTAAATGCTGTGCAGTCATTCAAATGATATGGGAGAAGAATGTTTGATGACTGAGCCAGAAACTGGTACATCCCTACAATCCTAGCACTTGGGAGGCTGAGGCAGGAGGATCACCATGAGTTCAAGGCCAACCTGAACTACATAGCAAGACCCTGTCTCAAAAAGCCTAAATAAATAAATAATATAGAAAGTTAACCACAAAATGAAAATACAAAGAGGAAGTTACATGACATATTATTATTTAGAGCAAGATTCCATATATATATATATACATACAGATATATATAAAGATGCTGTGTTATAGTTCATACATATGACCAATTCCTTTGATATAAATGGATATTCCATTGCCACTAATATAACCAGTGTTTCCTGATTAAAGCACTGAGCAAGTAATTGAAGATTGTATGTTTAAAGGAACACAGTAGGGACTTATTTCCCAGGGTGCTTCCTTTAACTAGGAGTTTTATCCTTATCCTAAAAATTAGGAGAAGCCATGGAAGTACATTCAGTAGAGATAGTGTGATAAGATTGGTTTCAGGCAAATTTGCAGTTATGGTCAGAATGAGAGAAATAAATTAAGAAGCTACTATGTAATCAAGGCAAAAATAAGAGTATGGCTAGGTTGCCTGGCTGAGCTACTGGTTGTTCACTGAGCAGGAACGGGAGGCCGGTGTTGGGAGGGGACCAGAGGGCTCAGCTTGAAAGTGTCGAGTTACAGATGCCTGGTTCCCATTCAAGCGAAGACAATCAGTGAACCATTGGATGTCTAAGTCCAGAAAACTCTGGCTAGAGCTAGGTTTGAGGGCCATCAGCGTCCAGAGGATCTCTGTCGTCAGACAATAAATGATACATTGCATTCAAAAGGTGAGGGGAAAATATAGGAGCAAACCTCCCAAGTTAAAGGACAGGGAGAATAAAAAGGGGCAAGCAGCAAGGTAGAAAGGAAAAAACTTGTCATGGAAGGAGGGACAGTCGGTAATGAGAAATGCTGCCAATACAGCACTAAGATCAGTTCTGAAAGGGGCTGGGGATTTAGCTCAGCGGCACAGTGCCTGCCTGGCAAGCGCAAGGTCATGAGTTTGACTCCTGGTACCGGAAAAAAAAACCAAAAAATAAAGAATAAATAAATAAAAAGATCAGTTCTGAAAAATGTCCACTGTATTTAGAAGCTATTGTCACTGATCATTGGGAGAGTTTGGGAATATGTAGGCAAACTGGAGACTGAGGACCATTTTGTTGTTCAGGGAGACTGAGACTAATTAAGTGATCTACCACCTTCTCTTTCTTTGTAATATTTTTTCCCTTCTAACTTTAACGAGTCTCTGAAGTTGTACCCACCACCAAATCGTCACCTTCTAATCAGAGTTCCAATGACTAACTTGGCAGCAGGGAGCTTTTTCCACTGGTCAGCTTTGTAATCAGTTCACTGTCAGTAAGCTGACAGAGACTTGTTTGTGCTGGTTCAGAATGCGGCTCCCATCAAACCCGTCCTCAAACGCTTGTCTTTCCTGCTTTGTGGTGCCGTTCACAGTTCATTCATGTCTTTTACCTTTTCTACAGCAAATACTCATAAATGCACAATCCACAGAAGAGTAAATAAGTTTTAAAATGTTAAAATTAAAAATTAGGCTGACATCATATTCTTGATTATTGATTGATAGTTGGAGTGTCTGTTTCTCCAAGTTTTTCAATCCAAGGACATTCTCAGCACATAGTTATTTCCCAAGTACAAATTTTATTCTCCTCTTATTTTTTCCCTTAAGACATTATTTCTGTTTTTTACAGTCACAATTCTAGAATATTATTACTCGTCCTTTATAATTAATCATTCCCATTCTTTTTTTCTCCTTGAGCAACATAAAGTCTCTCTGTTGTCCTTTCCATTTTTCATTTCTTGATTTTCATTTTGTAAATAATTCCTTGAAGCAAAAAGCAATTTGGCAAATTACATGGAAACATGAAGGGCACGATTGTTTTATGGGTATCAGGGTACCATGTTCAAACAACAATTTTCATTGTTATACCATCTGTCTTATCATCAACACATTAATTTACAAATACTTCACTGAGTATCTTCTGGGTGTCAGGCACCATGACTGTGCTGTAGAAATCAATAGCAGATCAGGACCTAGTTCAGTGTCTGGCCCTAGTACTTATTCAGTGAGTGTATGAATTAGTGAAAAACATCAGGTAGCCACTAATTTGAACAGAATGTCTGGAAGAGAAGAGGTTAGATCCCAAACTTGGAAAGCCATAGAGATAAAGCCAGGACAACATCCCCCAGGGAAGTGACAGTCTCTGCCATAGTCACCTAGACAGGGTCCAATAAATGGATGGATGGCAGGTCCTGAAGACCTGTAAAGAATTAGCATGAGTCTGAGGCAGGAGGATGACTGTGAGTTCAGGGCTAGCCTGCACTATATATCGAGACTCTGCCTCAGAAAAAAAAAAAAAAAAAAAAGAATTACCATGAATGGGTAAAGCACCCCAACTCCTCAACATGGCTGTTTGGCTAGTGAAGCTCTCTTGGTTGGAAAGATCACTAGTCAAAGGAAGAAAAAATTTCCAGCTCCAATTAAACAAGATGAAATTAGCCAAATAGGCTGAGAACATGTCTTAGTCTATCTGTGCTGCTGTAACAAAATGCCTGAGTCATTTATAAATAATAATTTATTTCTCACAGTTCTGGAGGTTGGAGATTCCAAGGTCAACTACCATTAGGTTTAGCTAGAATGAGAAAACTAATCTCTAGGACCTGCCTCTATAGTTCTATGAGATTTTAGCTCAGTTACTATTTTTTTTTTTTAACAGGGTTTTTCATGCTCTACAAGATCTTGGACATGATCATATTCTATAAGCTGATTATCACAATGGATATATCATAGTATAGACTATTAAAATATGTCAGGTGAGAACATGTTTTGAATCAATTTATTTTATTACTCAATATTTATCTAAATTTTCTTGTATAAAAATAGGACTTCTTCCTGCTTAGGTTTGGGACCCTGGAGGCAGAGCAATGGAGGAATCCATTCCTCACAGTGGTATTAACTGTAATACGCTTGTACTGACTGCAGAATGATGCATGAGCCAGTAGCAGTGAAGTGGCCCATCAGTAAGTGAAAGACTGAGCAAAGATAGCACATTCGCTCTTTAGTATTCCCAGCACATAGTGTACACACGAGAGGAGAACAAATCCACAAATGCAAATTATTCATTTTGAGTGTGTTGATACAAATAATTGGTAAATCCTGTGTATTACATCAATTGCTAAACACTGACTTACGGTTCAGAACTGCAGCTTCTTGATTCAATTTAGTGTTGCAATGCATGATCAGACCAGCAAAACTTGAGAACTTCTTTGGTGATTCCTGTTGGGTTCCAGTTGGTTTTCTCTAAGAAGGCAATAGAGATGTCTAGCTCCTACTGAGAACACAGAGGATGAAGATGTTCGAGAAAAAGGAATAGCATTTTAAAGTCGATTCTCTTTTGTTTCCCAAGGTTATTCTCCCAGGATAGCACCTTTCACTGCAAGGAGGGGAGTAAGGAACACTGTCAGGATTCATACTCCATGGTCGCTGGTTAGCCTGTTTTCCCAACTCCTTTCTTTGTATTTCAACAGCTGAATGTCAGTAAGTGTTTTCTTCTGTTTATCCCAAAAGGGTCCATAGAGACATTTTTCATCATTTCCTGGCATGGTGAGAGAGGATGTTGTTAACCAACTGCCATCTCAATGCTCAGATTAGTGTCAAGACTCACAGGGCAGCTGCTTTGCTTCACTGATAAAAGAATGAAAGGCCTTGCTTGTAAATAGCTTTGACTGTGTTTGCAACTTCTTAAATTACCCATCTAGTCCCCAAAGGCTGCATCAAAAATTCTGCTCCTCATTCAACCTCCCAAGGGTATAAATAAATGCACTGCAGCCCTTGAGGTCCTTCCTCCTCCTCCTCCTCCTCCTCTTTCTTCTTCCTTCCTTCCTTTCCATCAGGAGAGGAGGGCTCCACCTGGCCTCAGTTTTCTGTTAAAAAAAAAAATGCTTCTCCTTTCCTACACTGTGAGTTGCTCTGGTTATGAACCTTAACCAGTTCCTGGAGGTTTCCACTGGAGCTGTTTGACAGTCTTGTGGCAGCCTCTTCCTTAGTGCCTGTGTGTGATGGCTTTGAACTTGGTGAGACTGTTATGGCAAAATTTGGGCTGTATTCCACAAGAGACCAAAGAACTTTATGAGAACAGACAAAGTTTTAATTTAGACCGGTCACTTCTCATCCCGACTTGCAAGTCAGGGAAGTGGGCGTGGACCTGCCTTTGTTCCCAGCTTATATACATTTTTGGTTTCGATGGTAACAGATTAGAATGTTGTAGCCTTGGCCACATGTTGTTTTTCTTGTGCCACATAACAGGGTCAGGCTTCGGTCATGAGCCCAACCACAAGGATATATACTTTCTGTACTCTGTTTTATATGTCCCCCTTTAGATAACCATACATTTCCTTTATGGTTACAATGTTTATCTAGGGCCAGGGAAAGGATGAAAGAACCCAGGCAAGGTCATAGATGGTTATCTAGGCCCTGGCATTCTTTGTCTTTGGAAAAGCATTCCAGGGCTAAGTCAGGACTGCAAAGTTAACTCTTTACAACCCCTCTGGGATGTTTCTCAAGACACATTTTGAGGTGTGCATTAAGACTAGAATTATTCTATTTTAAAATGATATGCTAAGAGTCACCGTCCCCTACAAGACACTGTGGACCGCTCTGTTTGCCTGTTCCCATCATGGGGTGGATTGGGATGGGGAGGAATGTGCCCTTGCTAGGATGTGAACATTTTGTGCTACTGAATTCCTCCACTATTGTATATCTTGTCTAAATTCCCATCTTCAGAAATAAGAAAGGTAATTTACTCCTGGTCAGTGAGTTCTGTTAGCAGTTAACATGTACCTCCTTCATCTTCTTAAACATAAACAGGGCTGCATAGTGAGAGAAGAAAAGAATATCTGCCTAACCTAACCAAAAGAGGAGGGGGACTACAAAGTAGAAAAGGAAGAGAAATCAAAGAAGGAGGAAGAGGAGAAGGAGCAGGAGGAGAAAGAGAAGACAGTGGGATGATGAAATAAGGCCATTTTTTAATTGAAGTAAAACATTTGCCTGTATCTCTTCCTAACGCATCCAGAAATGTCCCATTGCAGAATCACTTCACTCCCAATGGATTTTTAAACTCCTCGTGGGTTCTATCTCTGCTTAGACAAAAGTTACCTGAGAAGACAGCTAGAAAAGAGTGACAAGGTCAGTGAAAACAGCTCTTCATCCTAGGGTTTCCAAGATCAGTGGGAGGAAAAAAGGAAGAAAGAGGAGAAAAAAGACGGAAGAAGTGGGAAAAGAGGAAGAAAAGATTTTAGGTTTAAGTCAGTCTTTCTAGGGGTAGGGTCTGAGAGTTTGGGAATTTGTAATCTGCAGGATTTTTTTTTTTTTTTTTTT